AAGCTAAACAACCTTCTGGCTCATCATCCCACCGTATTTCTTTTTCCTGACGTAGCGAAACTTTGCACAGTCTCAACACCACAACCCACAAGGTCTTGGCTCTATCCCTTCTCAATCACGTACACGCTGTCTCTCGTCCACCGCCAACATGAGCAAGTTTGGTGTCATGGTCATGGGGCCGGCCGGCGCCGGCAAGGTGCGTGTTTCAATTGCTTCCTCGTCACCCTTGACTTTGACTCCCTTGCTGACCCTGTCCAGTCCACATTCTGCGCCTCTCTGATCACGAATCTGAACCTTAACCGTCGCTCCGCCTTTTACGTCAACCTGGATCCCGCCGCCGAATCCTTCGAGCACGAGCCCGATCTCGACATTAAGGACCTCATCTCCCTGAAGGATGCTATGGAAGAGGTCGGCCTCGGTCCCAACGGCGGCCTCATCTACTGCTTCGAGTTCCTCATGGAGAACCTCGACTGGTTGACAGAGGCCCTCGACTCTCTGACCGAGGAGTACCTCATCATCATTGACATGCCCGGCCAGATCGAACTCTACACCCACATCCCGATCCTTCCGGCCCTGGCCCGCTTCCTCGGCCAGACTGGGTCGCTCGACATTCGCCTGTGCGCCGCCTACCTGCTCGAAGCCACCTTCGTCGTGGACCGCGCCAAGTTCTTTGCCGGAACCCTCAGCGCCATGTCCGCCATGATCATGCTCGAGATCCCGCACATCAACATTCTGTCCAAGATGGACCTTGTCAAGGACCAGGTCCGCAAGAAGGACCTCAAGCGGTTCCTGACGCCTGACACGACGCTGCTCGAGGATGACCCACAAGGCATCGGTCGCGAGGCGCGGCCCGTGGATGACGACGAGACGGGCGATCCGCAGGACCGCGACCTGATCATGCGCGGCACCAGCTTCAACAGGCTCAACAGGGCTGTCGCCGGACTGATAGAGAACTTCAGCATGGTCAACTATCTAAAGTTGGACTCGTCCGACGAGGACAGCGTGACGTCCATCCTCAGCTACATTGACGACATTATTCAATATCACGAGGCGCAGGAGCCCAAGGAGATGAAGGACGAGGAATTCGAGGAGCCGCAGGACGATTAGACTGGGACCAACTGTTGTATGACAGGTCCTAGTCTTCATGACGCAAAAGAGAGGTGGAACGGCACGATCTTGATTTTAGGGAAGTATCTGCATAGCGATGGCGTCGGGTTACCATGTATCGTTCGATACGCGCAAAATGGACGGTGGAATGCCACCAATATGATTCATCATTCTCTTTGTCTTGACATAATATCGTTGCTACCAATTGTGCGCCGTCCTGGCTGTTGGGGCCAACTCTGCTTTCGAAATGCACTCCCGCCGGTCTCGTGTCTTGCGTCAAACCTGATATCCTATGTCCGTACCGAATACAGCCAGCTTATCATCCTGGCAATCCCCCCCTCCCCAGGGAAAAAAAGACAGAGCTGTGCCGAGCCGTGCCGTCGATAATCCATGTCCGCCCATATCCAGCATCATCCTTTCTCTTCCTCGTGTTCCAATCCGCCCCTCTCAGCGTCTCCCCTGCACCCGCGCCTCCTCCTCGTACCTCCGCAGCTCCCCAACCCAAACATCCTTCGCCACAGCCAAGAATCCCATGATCTTGCCCCCGACGACAACAGCATCCTTGACCGTCTCGAACACGCCGTTCCGCACGACGGCCGAGCCCACGGCGACGACGGCCGCCCAGAACACCAGCCGGAACACCATGCGCGTCGCGAACAGCATGAGGCGCCGGATCCAGCCGAGGACGATCCACGCGGCGGCGAGAAGCGCGATGAAAGCGGCGAGGGAGACGAGGCCCGGCGACGCCGTCAGGAGGGCGAGCGCCCGGTCGATCAAGGGCGCCAGGAAGACGTAGGCGATATTGAGGGCCTGCTGGAGCTTGATGGCGGTGTGGCGCTTGAAGATCTGGACGGGCGAGTGCGGGTGGAAGGCGGTCGTGTGGAGAAAGTCGAGCGTCTCGGGGGAGAGGAGGCCTTCGAGGAGGGTTAGTGGTGAGTCGTCTTCTGGAGGCGCCATCTTGGCGGGTTGTGGTGATGGCTCTTTTTGGGGTGGGGATTGCTCGAGGAGGGTGTGCGGGTGTGGGAATGTCGCTGGCTGGTCGACAAGGGAAGATGTTGCGTTTCGCGTGCAAAAGTCGCGTTCTTCTGGATTGAGCCGCGAGTTGTTGCAAAGGGGTATCTTGTCGAGTTTTGTGCAGAAGCGGTGTTGATGGAGGGACAGGGTGGCCATGAGAATGAAGCTCTGGCGGTTTCCGCCCATAACTTTTGTAGCGATAAGCTGTCCGATAAGAAGTGACAGCTCATCAAGTGCCCCGCTGGCAATGACAGTAACAACGAAAGGTTCATGTGCAAGAAACAGAGCACAAAGACGAAGCCAGAACAATCAGTAAAGATAGTAAAACAGGCACTCACCAGAGCTGGCCAGCTCCTCGTGGAGTCGGTAATCGGTTAGATCCATTTTCGAAGTGCAGACGTAGTCTCTAGAAGACGTTGCCGTATAACGTCACAGATGTTCAAACAGTGCAAGACACAGCACCTCGCAACAAACGAAGCTCAAAGTAAACGGTTCAGAAACACCCCAACGACTTCACAATTAGGGAAGCATGGAATCGCAAGTAAACACCACATGACATTTCAAGACCAGGGCCCTGCTCGCCCTTTCAATAAACTACAACCACCGCTCAGTGGAGCCCCTCCCCACCCGGCACGGGGTCCGCCCGCCGGAGCGCAGGCCCGCGACGCCACTGTGCGCGTCCGGTGCCGTAATCCGCACAGTGTCACAGCCGTCAGTAGGTGGTCTCCCGCGGTTCTGCCAGGAGCAAGCGGGGACTGATCGGCGGACAAGGCAGTTCTGAGGTAACCTGTCGATGTTGGTGATACTGGGCACTGTGGGCTTGGGCTTAGGCTGTATGTTCTCTTCGATTGGTATCGCATTGATTCCTAGGCCTTTGGAGTAAGTGGTGACGTTCCGTTTATCGTGGCAATTAACATCGTCTTCCAATACGGTCCCTCAGACGACACGGCGTGGAGGCCCCTACGAAGGAAACCTCTAGTCCGACCTTCTCTGGCACTTCGTCTCGACCATGTCTCGCATCCAAGATTGAGGTGAATGATGATCGTTGCAACCATGTGTCTATCTTATGTAAAGTCTACACGTTGCCCGCCGCGTGGCGCCGGACCATCACCCCCTCGACCCGTAATCCATCAAGGACAGGTTAACAGGCATTGAATGCCACCAGCGATAACAAGCGAGCTTGCTCACGCGCAAGGTTGAAGAAAAACGAGAAAGAAAATGAAAGCATTTGTCCGACTCATCGGGACACGAGTTTGGGTATTGAAAGTCGTCGAGCGGCTGGCCGGCCTCCTATCGGCCCTTGCTCCGTCTGCGTGCCTTCCCTTCTGCCGCGGCAGGTTCATTTGACATTATCAGTGTTTCCATCAGAGGGCGCCTTATGACATAGAAAACCAGGGGCAGAACTGCCTCCCGTATCGTAACACCAGCACCAAGCTGCGCCTCAAATGGTGGTCTTACATGCTCCCAACGAGGAATTGGGTAGCTAGCACCTGGGTGCTCTTTAAATCGACTCCAAGCCCTCGAGGAGCTTTCTCGCCGCATCGATGCGTCGCCTGTACATGCGGCTCTCTGCCGATGCCCTGCCCGACTCACTGAGCCCGAGGACACATTTGCCAAGGCTGGCCACGAGTCGCTCGACAAGAATTTGATCTTCCTTGGCCAGTTGTTGTATAGCGACATTGTCCCCTGTCTCGCCATCCTTGCCGCAGATGCTTGCCGTGTCGTTCATCAAGCTCTCAGCCAAACTCTTCAGCGCCGGGTCGGGCGATCCTTGCGGTGTGCCCTGGGGCGTGGGCACGCCGTTGAAGGTCCGTCTATTGACCAAGGGAAAACTGCGCTGTGTTGCAGGTGAGTCCAGAGAGGAGATTGACGGTCGGCTTCTCGAGGCTGCAGGTCGGTTCAGAGGTCGCGAATATATAACGGAGCTGGCGCGCTGGCGCATCGGCCTCGCTGATGTTTGCACACTGAAAGAGCTGTCTTCGCTGATGCCCGGTCCGAACGATGCCCGTGTAGCTGTCAAGGGGCTCTCGGTTCGTACATCGGTCGTCCTGGCCACAGCAAATTGGGGTTCGTCTTCTCCGTCGCTATTTTTCCTGCTGGATTGGCCTTCGGTGGCGGTTGCAAATGAGTCCATCGTAGACATGGTGTCGCCGCTGCCTCTGCGGCGCAGTGTTGCTTCAACTTGATCCGCATTTGAGGTGCTCGGGCCGCGCGTCGTCTCAACCGAATCCTCGGAGCTGAAGCTACTGCTGCTGCCTCTCCGCTTCATGCGCTTCTGACTGAATGATCCCATGGCGCTGTGTAGGAAGAAATGCTCGTAATCGAAAGCATCCTCTCGGTCTTCGTGAGACACGGCTGTCTGCGGCGCATCATGGTATAGAGATTCTCCACTTTCGCTGTCCCAGTCGCCAAAGGTACCCTCTTCAGCGTCTTCGAATCCGTCCTCTGTCTGCATGTCATCAACATCGTCTGCGTACTCCTCCTGCCCGTCCGAGTCGGTTTGGAGTCGGTCCTCTGCGCGAAGGGCTTCTTGTGCCGCTACGTAATCACTGATCACCGATTCAGCGTCATCTTGCTCATCCAAAGCGGCAGTCGGAGCAATGGCGTACTCCTGGGCTGCATGTGTCTCCGCTTGCGCCATGCGTTCCCCGTCAACGCTTTCCATTTCGCCATTCCAAGGGTTCCTCCCCAGAGGTGTGAAAGAGGCGTCAGACCTCTTTGGCTTGATGGTACCAGCGTACCACTGGTCGGTCCCTGCATGCGTGAAAGGACTAGGTGTTCGCAGGCTTTGCAGACTCCGCCGTTTCAGACTGTCCGCTCGTGCCTGTTCTCGCAGCGAAGAGATCTTCCCCTTCAGATCGGACACCTGGTCCTTGATATCCCGCATCTGCATGACTGAAGCCGATCGGGTCAAGCCCTTGTCTGGTTGATGCTGCGTATAAGGACCGAATGTTGGGCTCAAAAAGGCGTCGAGCACAGCGCTGTCACGTTTCGATTGCATCTGTGGGTCGTTCTCCTCCCCCAAAGGCTCGAGCCCTGTGCTCAACATTGGTTGCTGTGAAATCTTCGACCGGACGTAGGGGCGACCGAGATCACCCATGCTGTGAGACCCAGGAAGAGGCTGTCGATATCCTCCTGCAGCACCAAGAGCACTAGCCGACCGTTTGGTGTAGTCTCCAGCGTTGTCACTGTTAGTTTCTACTTCGCTCCTCATGCGGAAGTGCCCTGGTGCGGAACTGGGAGACGTGGCTGCAGAAGCAGACCTCGCAATTGGGGGGGATGGGGTTCCTGATCCGACAGAAGAGTGTGGAGGCGTAGAGACCGTGTCGAGTGATGTGCGTGCTCTCGACAAGTTCCCTTCCATGGTCTGTGAAAGTGTCAGTCTCGACGGCTGGAAGCAACATGAACCGACCAGAAACATACCGTTAGCCTCTTCTTAGCATTGGCTAGGATCTCTTCCGCCTTCTGACTGATGGAGACTGTAGAGTGTCTATTCTCGTTGTTCATTCCCAAGCCTTGGCCCGGAGGCAAGGGCATAAATTTGGCCTGCCGGGCAGTGGTGTCGTCGATATGCGACTCGGCAACGCTTTCTTCATCATCACCCTGGAAATTACTGTCGTCAACGCTGACATCGTCGTCAAAGTCGGCAAAATGGCCATTGTTGCCCTGCGTGGTGACGGTGCTTGTCGAGTCGATGGATGCACGCCTCAATTGTTGGACCTTGGCACGCCTCTTCATTGCATCAAGACCCACGGAGGGTGAGGGCTGCAGCATGGTGTCTTTTGTTGAATCGGGCTGTGTAACATGGCGACGTGGAGCAATGGGCCAGGAAGGCTTGCCGACGGTGCTTTCGACCTCGGTCACCTCGCCAATATCGGACAGCATTGTGCCGTTACCGTAGATGATGGGCGTTGTGGGCGTAATGGGCCCTGATCCAAAGTGGTTCAGGGAGGAAGACTGATAGTTGGCATCGCTTGCATGGGCATTCTTCCACATCATGAGGGGCGATTCGGATCGGTCAGGGGAGCCGCCGCCGTAGTCTGGTAGAATCATATCGGGATTCGTCAGAGTGGGTGAGCCAGGCGCAGGCGGGTACGACATGCCCATGGACATCGTCGAGCTCGTATTGGAGCCTTGCCTGGCATGGGCGTGGAGTGTCTGCGTGGCCATGTCTGGCTTTGTTCAGAAGCAGCAGCAGCGCGCCCTTCTGTGCGGCTTTGCGCTCCTTTGACCTGATGCGCTTGTGAAGCGATTTTGTGTGTACAGACGCCGAAATCTCTTGGTTGTCGTTCGTATGATGCTGTGCGACAGCAGCTTGCGGTCCCTTTCAGCAGATGCAATCGAGAAGACCAGCACCCGAAGCCGTCGCGTCTTTCGTTCCCTCCTTCCGCGCGCCGTCGCAAGAGCGTGGAAGCAGACAGATCCAATGTTCACGGCAAGTGTATTTCGTATTTTGGTTGGGATTGTCGAAGAAAAACTCAAGTCGGAGAGATAATTGGCAGTCCTGTTTATGTAACAGTATGCAGGGAGAGCTTGAATGCGAAAGGGTGTACGGGTTGCAGTAAAGGAATCATGGGTCGGTCATTGGTCGTTGATTGTCGTCGTCAGCGATGTTTGTCGTCGTAGTAGCCGTTGGATGGTCGTAGTGGAGGAATCCCGGGCGAGTCTCCTTTCACTTCTCCTTCCGGGGTTGGCTTGTCTTTGAGAAAGACGTCTTCGTCGTGGAACGACTCAGGCGGCTCTCGTCCCAAGTAGTTTGCGCTCGGTGGAGAGGGGCGAATGCGGTGAGTAGTTGGATGCCGCGTGGGCACGAGACATTCAGGTGTCAATGTACTTCGTTTTGTTTGGTTCGTCGTATTCGTTGGCTCGTTGCTTCTTGACTAGTGTCTTGCTTTTTGGTCGCGGGCCTGGAGCTAAAGCTGAGCCGGCTTGGATGGCTGGAATGTTGGGGGCGCCAAAGGACAAGGCGGGATCAAGGCGAGTCGAGTCGAATCGAACAAAGGCGAGTAGGCATGTGCCCCTGGCGCATTGAACGGCGTGGCGGATAAGAGTCGGCGCGCTGAATTTTGATGGGCAGACCAGGGCAGCAAACCAAGGCCTCAGGGGTGGATTGGAGGAGGGTTGATGTCCGATAAGATTGGATGGCCTTTCCAAAGTTGCACCTCGCGTGGGTTACATCAGATGCAAAGTATGGACGGATTGGGGAATGGCTGGAAGGATGGGGATGACGAAGCAGTACTGGGTCGCCGTTGTCTGCCCCTGCGTCTCTGCTCAGGTTTGACACTGAACCCGGAACGGGAGATCTGAGATGGTGGACCGGGAAGCGACGATTGACTCTGGCTGGGACGGTTCTTGCTTCTTTGCGACGAACTCCCTTTGCTGAGGAGGCAGGTGTCGATCGGCCTGCGTACCTACCTGCCCGCCCCTTCACGTCTTGATGGGAACTTCCTCTTGCGAGAGTCCGGGGCCAGCACCCTTGTTTGATTTGCTGCTTGCTCCCCTGGCAGACATTTGCTGGGAACCTTCGTCGTGCTCTACGTACATGTACAGTGCAGCAAGCAGCTGACGAGCATTCCCCCATGTCCGGTCAAATTTCCTCATCAGTCTCTCGTCTGCCCGTCACTTTGCTCACGCTGCATTGGATTCCCAGTCGCTGGGATTTCGAGACAACCCCTGCCAGCCTACATGTACCTGCTTGCCTATCTACCAGGCAAGTCCCAGCCCATAACCTGCCCTTTCTTGGCCTTCGATGGACCTTGCTCCGAGTGCACGCGCCTCCGAATGCCCCCAGCGCTCGTCTTCAGCACCGAGCCAAGCGCTGTTTCACAGGCCATCTAGCCCATCCAGCACCCCCCCTCCCCCTCTAAGTGGACGTTCTGCCAAAACCCGGCAATTGACCAGCCCTTTCCCTCCCATGGTCGCGTCTAGCTTTTTTTTCTGTCGACCCGCTCCACGCCCCGACCCCGTTCATTCGCCTGCCTTGCCAGTCTTCGTCTTCTCCAGCCATTTGACTCAGGTCCTCGGTGCGACTCCTCTATAGTTGTGCCACTTCTGCTTCACCCTGAGTCGGTCGGACCTGGACTCTCGCTGCCGGGGGCCCTTCCCGCCCTGCCAAGATGCGCGCCTGCCATGGCATGGCATCGGAGGATTGTCCTCGTCTACTTCTGACAGCCCTAAGGCCTGGGCAGCGGAGAGCCGATCACCTAGAACGCACATCGTCCTCGTGGGTTCGCAATGCTCTGGTCCAAATAAGAGATTGAGTGCATAATACCCGTAAAGTGCCTTTTCACATGGCACTTTCCATGTTGCTCCCGAATGAGTAGGCATGAACTAGCCAGATTGTGATGTGACGGCCACTATCGAAGGCAATCCAGCGTCCGCTCCGCACGAATACGGCCCAATGTGACACTGTCGGCCCCTCGAATCTTACCTCCTCCGCCCGCCCATGTCGCTTATCTCGCGTGGCACCAAGCTTCATCGGCTGGACGGCCTGAATCTGGCAGGCACTCGATTTCGTTTCACGCCTTCTGGATTGGTGGTGGAAGATCCCAATGCTTGGGCCTACTTGTTTTTATTTCGTTCTCCTGTCCACTGTTCCTCGTGCCATCCCCCAGGCCAGCCTTTGGGATTCGACGATCGGAGATGGAACGTCCAGGCTCAAGCAGCTGACTATCTGCCTGTGAAATAATCGTTGTTGCTCTCTTCCCTGGCTGCCCAATATGCCAATGCTTCTATAATTTATCCGCCACAATACTTCTCTCGACAGCCACCAGCGTTTCCCTGTCCCTTACGTGTCCCGCTCCGAGCTTTTGAACACCCACCGTCGTCGCTACGTGGTATTATCGATCCACACTTTAACCCTCCGTGAACGCCTCGCTCCTGGCCTGCGCCGTGCTCGCATCTTCCGTACCGTTGTCCTTGGTCGTCGGGCGGTTCGCAATCAGGCGCTGAACAGGTTAGCCTCTGTAGCGCCGAAGGGGGCGGAGAATCATAAACGTACCACCAGATTTCTCAACAGGACCGCAATAGTCACCTTGCCCACGGAGGGCACATAGATGGACGCCTTCTCCTTGACCGCCGGGCCGTCAAAGTTCCGGAACGACGAAAAGTTGATGCACACGGCGCCCTCGCGGGATGAGGTCGATGGGGACCTTGTAGTTCTCCGACGGCACGCCGCCAATGATGACGTCGCTGAGGGGCAGGCACTGCTCGAGGCCCCAGCCCTTCTTCTCCTCGGCCTGGTGGCGCGGCTGCTTGATGCCCTGGCCGCGCGTGAAGAGCTGCACGCCGGTAATGTCGACCGAATAGACCTGGGCACCGTCGTTGGCGAGGAGCGCGGCCAGGGGCCGGCCGTTGACCTCGGAGCGGTTGATGACGGTGATGGTCTTGCCGTAGAGGCGGTTGCCCGACGCGAGGATGGGGTTGTAGATCTGCAGGTGCTCGAGGATCTTGACGACGGCCAGCGGCGTGCAGGGCAGGATCGATTTCTTCAGCTGGTGCTCCGGGTCAAGGAAGCGGACATTATGGTACATGTTGTAGAGGTGCTTGTGGCAGAGGCCCTCGACGTCCTTGGCCAGCGACACGGTCTCCTGTATGTACTTGTCGTGAATCGGGTTGCCAGGGAAGATGGGGTAGTAGACAATCATGCCGTCGACCTTGTCGTCGTCGTTGGCCTCCATGATCTTCTCCTCGAGCTCCTGGTTGTCGACCTTGCGGAGGTCGAAGTCGAAGCCGCTGCATTTTGGTTAATCACGTGGCGTCTGTCTGCATGTTGCGTCCTCACGAGACTGTCTGCGCAGCATCGAACTCACTTTTCCTGGCACGTCTTCTGGGACCACTCGGCGTACTTGAGAGCGGCGGGATCATCGTTGGCGAGGAAAGCCACAAGGCTGGGCTTGCGATCGACAGCACCCTGGATCTTCTGGAGCGTATCGTGAACCTCCGCCAGCAGCTTCTTCGCGATGGTGTCGGCCAGGATGACCTTGCAGGTCTTGGGAACCTCGTTGGACGCCATGATTACGAATCTGAGGTGTCCCTGGCACCCGATTAGCCACAGCAAAACATCAAACAAGGCTGTCTGTATCACGCCTCACCTGGAAGGCGTTGTGGCTTTCACTATGAGTCCTACAACAACATGAGTTGGCAGCCCCACCATCGTCAACCCCACGTTCCGCCGGCGCACCGTGGAGAAGCAGGCATTGGGGGTGAAGACGTACACAGGTCTGTGGGAAAGGATCGGATGCTCTGGCTTCGGGAAGATGAAGGTCCCGGGTCAGGTTTCTACGGCGTAGCACGAGATGGATCCTGGATGCGAAAAGACAAGATCACACAGAGAACAATAAACCGAAGGACAGCGCGACTTGAGACTCGCGAGTCACTTTTTTTTGGAGGGGCACCGCGCTCCGACATCGACCGTCGCTGCAAAAAAATTCAGGACCCTAGGGGTACCTGAGACCCGCCGCTTTACAAAAGCTGAGTCAATTTCTTGAAGGCTGGGCGGTTTGCTTGCTGAGTACATTCACGTCCATCCAATCTTGTAGGGCAGCGAGAGCTCTAACCTGCTACATCCGGGTGCGAAATGTCTGCCCCTCTTACTACTTTGAGTCTAGCTCTTCGCTTCAACTTTTGACGTCAGCGGTACAGTGGTCGCCTGTCACCCTGAGAGATGAACCATTCGAGTGTCTGTTGACAATTCTGAGTGAAAAGTCACAAAACTAATGTATGACTGAGGATCAATCACTTTTTTGTAGAATCCATGATTCTCCGGTCATCATAAAGCAGCCTCAGCTGCTGATTGACACGCTCCAGAAGCTGAATACTGTTCCGCTGGCGCAGGTGGGACGCTGTATGCACAAGGCGCTAAGCGAAAATGCGATAAACTCGATAAGGCTGCTGTCACCGCCGAAGCCGCTTTCTGCCACTGCAGCAACGCTGAATGTGTGGGTGACAAACCGCCCAGCCAAAAGGCGATGATTACCAAACCGCAACGACCGACTGCACCTCATAGCGCATGAGCAACTCATTATCGCATCAGCCGTGCATTATTTCGCTTGGGGTTCTTTTATCCTCACCGAGACAAACGGCATCGCGCACGTCTGCCGCTCATTGCCCTCCCCTTCCCCCACCAAAGTACCCCTCCTTGTGCTGCATTTCTGAGCGCGGGGCACCTAGACTTTGGTGGTTTCAGCATATTGCGGGAGTGAGCCTTCGAAGCGTACACTCGCCAAGGCTTTCTTACCTCCCTACTTAACTGATCCTTTCTCGCCGCTTCAGGATATCTCCAAGGGACATTATCGGCGCCCTCGCTGTGAATCCTTGGCCTCTGCATCACAACAGCCGGTCACTCCTCGGTCATTTATCTTGACTTGCTTGGCATTGTGCCTGTCGAGACGGTGCGGGATAACATTCTCATATTCAATCTGATATAGAAAACCTTCAGACATGGCAGACTTTCGCAAGTTGGCTCTTGAGTTTGTCCTGAGCGACAGTGTCGCTCGCAAGCAAGAGATCGCCCAGGAGTCGGCTTCAGGTATGAGAATCTTGATAGGTTCGCTGTGCGCTGCGTGGCTCGCAAGCTGACAATAGCACAGTAATTCAAAACGATCCCAGACCTGACAATGCGATTGCCCGATGGTCACAGTCCATTCAGCCATGGATTGCCGGCCGTGGTGACGATGCCATGGACCACGGCCAGGAGGGCGAAGCAGAGGGTGATTTGATCGCTCGATCAAACGGTTAGAGGAAATCCGGTGCTCGAGATGTACTCATTTTCTGACTTGAAATTAGCTCTGAGTTTCCTAGCAGATACTCTTGAGGTCCTTGACCCTAAGCTTCTCAAGCCCAGCAAAGGTATGCCCCGTTCTGCCCACCGCACGGCAACACGTACTGATCGAGCCAAGTTGCCACATTAATCCACTTCTTTGGCAACATGTTTGACTTTGATGTCAAGGCTGGAGTTCTCCCCGCCGCCAAAGCGCTTACTCACCTGAGTAACATGGAAGGCTTCCAGGCTACTGATGGAGACAAGATCATCTCAAGCATCTGCACCCTCAAAGATGACTTCAAGTTACAGGTTTCGGAGACTCGTTCCGTAATCTACGACTTAATCAACGTCCTGATCAGTCGACCTGACGTCTCCAATGACCTGCAGTACCGTTACGGCTCCACGTCCGGGTTCATGACCGACCTTCTGCAGCTGTGTCGCAATGAGCGCGACCCCAAGTGCCTGCTCACCTGGTTCGGCATTCTGAAAACTTTCCTCGCAGATTACTCTGCCGCAAATGAGCTCGTAGAAGAAGTATTCAATGTGTTCTCGGCCTACTTCCCCATTTCTCTGAGGACGTCCCAACACCCTTCAGGAATTACGGCAGACGATTTGAAGCTTGCGCTACGAGGCTGCTTTGCCGCTCATTATCGACTTGCTTCCCTCACAATCCCTTACCTTGTCGGGCGGCTAGATTCAGGGGACTCTGTCACCGTCAATGTCAAGGTAGGTAGCCCTAGGCTAAATTGAAATGACCAGATCGTTAACCAGACCACAGTTGGATATCCTGAAGACTATCAAGGCTTGTGTCGACAATTACACGCATATCCAGCAAGGTCTTGTCCCCTACGTTGACAAGATCTGGACGAGCCTCAAGTATGAGGTTCGCAATGGGGAAATTGAAGACACAATCAAGGGAACTCTTGAAGTCATCCGAACGATAGCGGAAAAGCTGACGGGTAATGACCTTCGAGACTTCGCCCTTACCGTCCAAAGAGATTGCCTCGACGACCTGTCCAACCCGACGTACGCTACAGGGTCCGGCAAGCTCTTGGTTGCAGTTCACGGAGCCAAGCCGTCAGCTTTCGCTATTATGGTCTCTCCGACATTAACGCACGTCAAAGAAAACCTCCGCCACACTCGCTCTTCTGAACACACACGCAGCCTGCTGGCGCTTTCCAACGCCCTCCTCAGACTGCGTGCCGCACTGGTTGATCCCTCGATGACCGCAGACGATCTGCAGGCCTTCCGTTCTACTGAGCCAGCATTCGTGTCTCTTCACCGAGAAGCGTATGCGCTACCCTTTCACCAGGCTACAAACCCAGGTGCGCCCAAAGATGTTGTCAGCATTGGCCTAGAGGCCATTGAGGGCATGGGCTTGCTTGTCATCCAACCATCCGCCAGCTCAGGGTCCAAATTCGGTCTGATGCTGCGTGAGGAAGCGGCTTCAGAAATCTGTTCTGAACTTTCGACATTCCTCTTTGCTGCTCAACACGACGCCGCGTCTGAATCAACTTCTGCCCTAGTTGATCAAACCCTGTTCGCCTTGCAAAAAGCCAGTATTATTTTTCCACCAGTCTTCCCCAAGCTCGTCTCTGATAGCTCCACTGTCTGCCGCTCGGCAGCCTCAAGATCGCCGGCTGAGCTTCAAGCAACACTCCACTATATCCTGCCTAAGCTGGCCTTCACCGGCTGTTCCGAGATCCCGAAGTCTGGAGAGAAAACGGAACACCTTGTGCTGCTCCTTGGCACTTTCTTGAAACAATTGAACTCAAGCTTCGATTCAGAGGCGACGGCGAATGTTTGGGTGGAGTATGCTATCGGTGTTCAAGCGGCAATGAGGTACTTCCGTGATGCCTGCGAGGCGTCGCTGGGACGGACTATCAAAACAGAGCTGCGACAAGGCAATGAACGTCAGCAAAACGAGGACGCCACTCGTGAGAAGGCAGATCCTCATTTCTCAGCAGAGCGTTGGGTGCAATACGTCTCCCAACGCTTCCCTAGCCTTGTCACAGTACAGACACAAGAAGCGCTTTCAGAGCTCAAGTCTGGTGATATCGAGACATCGGCCGCGGAAGTTGCGGCAGATCAGCTCATCGGTGACTTCCTTCTCATCAGTCTGTTTGTCATAAGACAGCTCTACAGGCGCGCAACGGCTGTTGTTTTTCCCGAAGACAACATGAGCGCCTCGATTGCACTCAGTTCAGACTTCAAGGAGGGCAGCGACGAGGAGAAGCAAAACCAAGATCAATATCTACAACTCCTTTCCGATACTGCCAAGTTCATCGTGTCACAAATGGACCGAAGCCAGCAGGACGCCTTGTCTCTGATTGAGGATGTTCCTAGTCTCTTCCACTCAGATGATCTCATTCCTCAAGCAGATGGTCAAACCGCCTCGTATCGGGAGCTGGCACAAAAAGAATGGATATTCGACTCCAGCCTTAGCAAGACCAATCCTCCCAAGTTCCCTCTCAGCGGTCTCTCTGACGGACGTACCATCATCCTTTCTTTTGGTCTGCTAGTGCCTCTCCAACTGCCAGCATCCATCTTTGACCCGAGCAATGATGCAGGAGTACGTGTCCTTCCTTCATTAGTCCAGTATTCTTCTAACCCATCACCAGGTTACCAAGGGAATTTTGTACCGCATCTTAGTCGCTGGTCTTTTGTTTCAAGACCACGCTGCCTCCCCACGATCGCGGGCTGTCGTTCTGGCCATATTGACCAGCCTCGCCAACAAGTGTGTCGCAGCAGACATGACTGATATTCTCGACAGCCTCAACTCACAGATAGAGCTTGCAATCAATCCTCGTTCCGACACGAAAGCCGGACCCCCAGACTACAACCGAGCACTCGTTGCGCGCCCTGTTTTTGCCGCCGTCGCCGGTATTCTGAGGAAATACAAGGGTGGCTACCTGGGCAAGGTTATCGCTGGAATCATCGAAGGGCCTGCTGATCAGAAGATTGGCCATGGTCTCGCTCGCAGAGTCGGACTACTCTTCCGTGATCAAGAATGCCTTCAGAAAGAGTACAATCCCAAGCTCTTCAGCCCCTTATGGCGGCAGCGCGCGTATGTCGAGATCATCAAGCCCATGCTGGCCAAGGCCTGGGGTATAGGCACCAACAGCCAAGACAACACCATCATCACGGCCAACTACAGCATAGCCGTTCTTTCTGCCACTCAGTGGCTAGACTACACGGTGTACGAGGAGGATGCTGACGACTTGATCCGTCTCATCATATGCGTTGCCCGCAACATTGGCGCCGGACCAGATCTCGAGGCCAGCCTGACAGTGCTACTGCGTATCTGCTCCTGCGCTCCTGACAAGGTGAAGCCCTTCGCGAAGAGCGTCATCCGAGAATGCAGCGCCGTGCTCGAAGGGAAGGGGGAGTCACGGACTGAGGAGTGGATGCCGGCGGGCTTCCACCAGCTGGATCCCACGGGCCGCAGCTCCATGCAGTCGAGGCGCCTGGCAGTGAGGCTTCTGGGTCCCTGCCAGCCTACTGTGAGCGGGGAGATCTGCTTTCTGCTGCATCGGCGGTGCGTCGCTCGCTGGCGAGGGCTTCTGGTGATAGTGTGCGAGAGATTAGACGTGCTGCGCTGGAGGCTCGGGCTGCGTGGGACCCCGTTAGATAAGAGGTTGTATACACCAAGTAGAAGAACTCTCTTTGCTTAATTTAGGAGGGTCCACCATCTTCGACATGTGTGTATCATCACATTTAACACTGAAAAGATGATGATTTTGGTTTCCTTTCTTTTGACATGTTGCAGTATCCTAATCATGGACCTGTGATGTCGCGGAATATTCCAGTGCGCCCATGCGCTGCTTACGCTTTGAATAACGCCGAACATGAGTGTCTTCTCCGCTTTTGGATACTTTCTTTTGATTTTCAAAGCCTAGCACTTCCGAAAAAAAGTCAAGGAATTTTTTGGAGGACTGTCTCTGGCCCAAACCGCCCCAATATCGAATGCTCCTATGCCTTCCTCCGCTTTGTAGACTTGCTCTCTGCCGTGCTTCCCGTCGCCGAAGCCGAAGACTGAGCGGCGAAAACAGCATCGAGGACAGCAGGGTCGTACACATCCTGCTGCTTCTCAGCCTCGGCGCCGGAGCGGACGCGGCGCGCGTCGAGCTTGCCGATGGCTGGGATACCTGTTGCGAGCATCTCCTGGAAGGGAACGACGACGAATGTGCCCTTAGAATCGAACCATTGAGTGAAGGGCTTGGCGAGATCAATGGTTGTGGAAGCGCCGGATTTGGGGGTCAGGGTGATCTTGAGGTGGTAGGTAGGGACGTTTTTGACTGTTGAAGTAGCGACGGAGATCTGGGTGGATAGTTTGTTAGCTGACTGTCCTGAGAGCGGTTCAGTGGCCCGTGGCACATTACCTTCTCGCCAGAGGGGGATGTTCCCTGGTATATCACGCCCTTCTCAACGAGCCAGATCCAGAGGGTCAGAGCGCTGTTGATGAGCGTGTAAAGGGCGACGGCAATGGCCGAGTACTGCTTTGTTGCGTCGAAGCCAAACTTGTAGTCCCAGGCGAAGCAGGCACCGGCGATGGCGAAGGCGGTATAGCCAAGGGCGAGACGGATATCAACTAGCGTATGGGACTGAGTAAACTTGAGAGAGTTGAGGTAGTTGGGGATCGCGTCGTCTGAGGTGTTCTTGAGATCTGAATAAATCCGGGTTAGTGAGAGTCCTAGAGCTACCGTGGTGCAAGTGGTAACCTCACCCGCCAGGTTGTGAACGGTTATTCTTTCTTCGGACGACATGATTGCTAGTCTCTGGAGCAGAAATGACGAGATATTTGGAGAGGTGTGTCGCAGTGCGCTTGGGCAAAAGCCGTTTTCTGTGCTGCGGTTTAGAAGAAGACCAGAGTGACAGACAGTGAAGCATGTCTAAGCTCCAGGCTGGCCTGTCGCGATGTCTTGGTGTACCTACCTGGCACCGTGCCCCTGCTGCAGTTCGGCAAGCGGGGTGTTTGACCCAATGCGGACTAGCGCCGTCGGTGTTGCTGCGTAGGGTGCCAAAGCTGGCCACAAGGCAAAGAGCAGCTCCAACCGCAACTCCAACGTCGTGTTTCCGAATTGCCCGCCAGCTTCCGACTTCTCGACGTGCCGGGCCTCATATCGCTGCGCAACATACTGCACCTTATTTGAGTGAAGAGGGAAGCTCATTGAATCGAAAGCCATGGCTCAACCACCCGTTCAAACGATCCATCGGGATCCCCAGCTCTTGTGCGCATCCCCGCTCGATGCGTCTTTCTGGCGATGCTAACCATTGACTTTAGCTACTGGATCCTTGTACCGATCACCATAGTCATGATCCTTACTGGTATTCTCCGTCACTATGCCGCCACTCTGCTTGCCAACGCACCCAAAGTCATCGACAAGCCGACAATGAAGGAACAGCGCGCCATGATCCATGGCCAGTCCGTCCGTAACCACCACCACGTCCTGTCGAAGAAGTCATTTGAGGCGCGCCGCGAGCAGCTCATCTCTTCATACGAATCGGGCGCCTACCTCAAGAACCCCGACAGCAAGGGCCAGCCCCCTGCCAACCCTCTTTCCGATCCGAGTGCCATGGATGGCATGATGGGTATGATGAAGAACAACATGGCCATGATCATTCCCAACACCCTCATCATGAGCTGGATCAATGCTTTCTTCAGCGGATACGTTATCAGTATGGCGCACCTGAACTTGAACCAATCGGTCGCGTGCTAACATCTCGCAGTGAAACTGCCTTTCCCCATCACCATCAAGTTCAAGAGCATGCTGCAGTCTGGCGTCGCGACCAAGGACCTAGATCCCCGTTGGATGTCTAGCATTTCGTGGTACTTCCTCTGTATCTTTGGTCTTCAGTCTGTCTTCGTTTTCCTCTTGGGCAGTGACAACGGTAAGCATGGTTGGATTCCTCTGGTTTCGATGCAGTAATTAATCACTGACATGTCCCAGCCGCCAGCCAGATGGCCCAGCAAATGGGCCAGATGGGACCCCCACAAAACGCCCAGATGTTTGGTCCTGGACAGGACCCTGACAAGCTCTTTCAGGGTGAGGCTGAGAACATCGCCGTTGTTGAACATTACTCTGTCCTCGATGAAGTTGAGCAGAGGCTGCTCCAGGGTATCAGAACATAGAAACTCATAGACAAATCAAATCCGTGCCAGCCCAATTCCGCCGCCAGCTATGCGTGCCCCCTTCAAACAGCTTGTTCCTGCTCCTCGTTTCCCTCGCCATCCCACCAAAGGCAGACACCCAGTCCATCCATGGCCATGGAGCCCTTGATCTTGTAGGGCGTTGGGAGTACCTCCTCCTCCGATTGGCTTGGACCCAGCGGTGCCTGGTCGTGCCATTCCTCGTCAATGACCTGGAAGCGGACCATTTCGTGAATGTCGTAGAACAGCTGCGTTTCCTCGTCGCAGTTCCATATCCAGATCTGATCCCGGTGGTTGAACTCGGCTCCCTCGGGAAGATCCTCAAAGGGGACGAAGATGTCGTCAAAGAAGTCAGTGCGGACTGTTTTCGGTGTTAGAATCGAATCCTAAGCCTCAGCTAGCAGTGGGACTCACGGTTGATGCCCGCTGGGTCGCACTTCGAATACGGCCGAGCATGACCTCACCCTTGAAAGGCCGGAAAACGACGAGGCGAAACTCGACTAAAGGCTGTCAGTCGTCGTTCTTTGAACCTAGAGAAACGCCGTTTTTACCATTCACGTTTACCAAGCCCTGTGCCATGGCCCGATAAGCCCCTCTGAGGTCCACAGAAGATCATAAAGGCAGATGCAAAGTCCGATTTTCTGAATGACACGGTTTGCATACTTGGCGTTGATGTTATCTTCAATGGCCACGATGCTTCGTTTTTTAAAATCGTCGGGTGCGATCTGAACCAGATCCGCGATTTTGGTCTACCGAGTGATAGTCAGAATCGTAAACTTGCGGGAAGAAAAAAAAGGCCCTTCTGGGAAGACTCACGAGAATGAACATTTCAGCGGGGTGGGGGGATTATCGTCCACAAAGTCCACAAGGCGCTACATCCATAGCAAACCGCCAGAAAAAAAGAGTCTTGGGTCTTGACGGAGAATGAACACGTAAATATGGCAGGGCAGTAAGGTCAATTGAAGATCGTGTGAATGAGATGCTGATTCTGAAGACGGAAGGTCGGCAGAATCGTGAACGACACCGACCCCACTCTGACCGCCTGCTCAACATAGAAATCAAAGTCGTCCTGTATGGGGCCCTGCACCCACTGACCTTCAGTATGCGCTAGCGCTATGCAGGAAAAGGCACATCTCCACCAAGCCGCGACACCTCCTGTCCGTGTTCCTCGAGTCGGAATCTGCCAGCTAATGTTGCTTTCCTTTCATTCAACCAATTCATCATCCACAGCTGCTCAATCTTCACCACCGCCTCCTTCGAACTGGCAAGCTTTGAGCCCAGGCACTGCCCTGTGAACAGTTCTTTCGTCACTCCCTCGTGGCCTATATTACAGGGAAAGCCCGAGCAGCATTTCAGGCTTTGAGAGTCCGAAGAACCGTCACACAGCCTCGCCGCCTGATTGCATTCTGGCTCGCTTGCCTGTCTTTCGGCACTCTTTCGAACCCAAACGCCTCGAAGTTGTGGATTCATTTCTTGGTTCTCAAGGATCTTCTGGAGGCCTTAGTTGGCCGCGTTTCAACACGATAGCCCGCCATGTCGGGTTACAAACTACGGTCCTCCGCCTCCACCCCCCCAGGCATCACAGTCGGGACAAGCTGGCTATAGCCATCATGGTGCCCAATACCAGCATAGCGGACCTCGTAATGGCGGTTCTCCGGCTGGTAGGGGTCGAGCTGGGTATCCCGCTGGCGGTCGCCCAGAGTACACACCGACACCTCCCCATTACGAGTACGGCGGCCACAGCCAGCAACAACATTACGCACCTCATGCAGCTGGCTATCCTGCTCCTCAACTCCCCCCCGGGAATTACCCTCCACAGCATCAGCAATGGCCTCAAGTTCATACACCGACACCTACACAGCATCAGCCCCATGCGCCAGCGCCACTCTCGACTGCAAACTACCATCCGAACTATGCTCCCCAGGCATACGCACATTCCCAGCCTCCTGCACACCAGCCGGCCTACGGCGGTCCCCCCACCGCACAACAGCAACAACAATATCATTACGCGGCACCTCCCCCATACAACCCGCAGCAGGGCTGGGCGGGTCACGACCGATCTCAGCCTCCATACGGCGGTGGACATCATCGGGGCGGATACGGAAGTGACAGGAACGCATCGAGGGCTCCAAGTTCGGGAGACCAGGCTCGTGTCGAGTATCCTACCCCAGGCATGCAGCCTCAAGTGAGCGGCAGCTATCCTCAGCCTTACCCTGGCCCAGATCTCGTGCCCAAGGCGCGTACCCCCAAGCCCCTCACCACCAACCCCAATATCATGCCTACCCACTGCTCCCCCTCCTCTTCACACGTTCCAACTCCTCATTCCGGTCGTGACCACCATAATAAGCAAGACGGACATCACTCCGGACGTGGCAGGGGCGGCTTCCGTGGCGGTGGTGGCAACATGCGAGGCAAAGGCAATCACCATGGCGGCGATAAGACTCGACCGCGACATGGAGGACAACGTCCTGATGGCCCATCGCATTCTCACAAGCAAGACTCCAATGCTTCTGGGAAGAAGAAGAAGAGGAAGACCAACACGCTCGGGCTCACACCGGGTCAAGACTCGGAATCTGAGGATGACGAGAAAGAAGAGGAGACACTCCGCCAACTCATCGGTCAAGATGCTCTTCAGTAGGTGATTTCCTTTCCTGTTTGGTCTTTCCAGAGCGTTCTTAACACCATGGCCAGAGTCAGTGATATTGCTTCATACATTGCGGACAGAAGAAAGAATTTCCCCACTGCTGCCCGTTCAAAGGCCAAGAAGGATGCCGAGGTGGCAAACAATCAACATGGCGACAAACGCGCAGCTGCCCTTGAAAGGCAAGAAAAGATGGCTCAGAAGCTGAGAAAGCAACTCGAAATGGTTGAGTCGTCCATCAAACGGAAGCGCGAGCAGCAAGACGAGGGTGACGAGATGAGGGACAGTCCTGTTCTCTCTGATGTGGGTTCAGGTGACGACCAGCCCGAAGTTTTGTCGACTCGCTCGCAGCATCTTCCGGCGCCGCCTCCTCCAGCGAAGAAGGCAGATGTCAGCAAGCACTGCAAGTATTATTCCACCGGTGGTACATGCGGCAAGAAGGGCAAGTGCCGCTTCGTCCATGACCCTGAAGTCAGAGAAGCGGCCATGAAAGAGCGCGAAGCCAATAACGGCAACCTGACGATCCAGCAACGTCTGGTCCTCAACGACAAGGACCAGGAAGATCTTACTGTCCTGCGATCTATTCAGTATCTACGAGAAAAGGGCGTAATCTCTGAGCAAAAGAATGCCGAAGCTGCCGCCGCCAATAGTCAGCACTCTGGTGCGGCGGAACAACGGGCACCTCAAAGCGAAAGCACGCTTCCTGCGGCCCACTCATCGCTGCCCCGGGCACCTGTTCGACCAAAGCATGGCCTACCGCCGCATAACCCACCCCCTTCTGCTCTGCAGATTGCGAAGACCGGCGGCAAGCCCCAGTACAAGGGGTGGAACCTTAGTGGATATGGTAACTCTGGTTTGAAGTCGGAGGATCTTCCCTAGTCAAAGAGCGAAACATGAATTCTTGGGCCTGCAATGCTGACCAGGACACCCTGAGTTGCAGTGACCTCTGAACAGGGTGCAGCGAGTTTATTTCCATCTGCTGTCGCCGCTCATTTTAAGCTTGTTCCCTCTAAACCCCGCTCACCAGGCTCTCCCATCAATTGGCGGAGAAGTAGTCCTGGCTGGAGCACTACCAGTGTATTTTGTATTGGCATGATCTATGTACTACCTCCTCAACACAATCTTCACATGATTCGCCGGCCCGGTTTGTGCGTGATCAGAAGCCTGTCCTTGCAACCAGGAATGTATTTTTGCGGGTTATAGAACCTCACAGGAGTGGATCTGGGTACGAGCTATGTATAGAAACGCAAAGTTTGCGGTCGTTGACCTAGTTTTGACCTTAACGGCCTTGTATTGTTCCAGGAGCTGTGGACAGGATGCATCCATCTGTGTATCGCCATGTGCGTTTACCGTGGCAAAGTTGCCAGCGGTCGGTAGACGTAGAGACAGACCACAGACACGTGGCAGGCCGGGGACCTCAAGTGCTGGTGGATCAGACGTCGAGACGAACCTTCCTGTCTTGACTGGGGCGGTCGTTACTATATACGTTTGGTTGATACAATGCTTCATTTGCGGGCGATACAGGTACAATCACGTTGGTGTACTCAGGCACGCCAGCCACCCGTGAAGACTACTGATATGAGTATTAATTTATGACAAGATGACTGAGCAGGCTGGAAGATGAATACAGTTGACTCTGACGACGGCAATCCCACTTGCAAGCAGCGGCAATATCTGAACGTATAGTCCAGCCCATATCACGGCAAGAATGTGAATCACGAGTCAAAGAAGTTGTTGTGAGCAAACCAAGTACATAACAGTTTATCCAATGCAGCCGATCCTGCGAAGAAAGAAACCTATGAATGCCTATCTACCGAGACAACGCGGCAAACGCCCCACGTTTGATGTGCTTCCCAAGAAAACCTGTCCCTCCCCCTTATCGCCCCCTATTCCCAGCTGCAGGATGCGCGTTGTTGCGCAAAAGCAAAAAACAGAAATGGAAAGTATGAATTCTTGGGGCAAAAAAAGCAAGGACAACGCCGTCGCTGATGGATGAGATGGGGTGGGTATGATAATCAAGAGGGCGTAACGATGCTAAACCGCATGCAGGAGGAGATGCCGTTTCAACGGCGGTTCCGCTGCTGCTCGAGGAATTTGCGCTTTCGTTCCTCCTTTTCGGCCTTGAGGCGCTTCTCGAGTCGGTCCTGTTCAATATCCTCCCGCCGCGCGGCACGCTCGGCCTCGGCCTCCTCGTCGTAAATGTCATCCATGCCGGCTTCCATGTCGGAGTCAGAGCCCGAATCATAACGATAGCGAGGGCCCGCCCATGTCGTCCTCTTCCTCGTCATCATAGTCGATGAAGTCGTCCATCTCCTCGTCCTCGTCTTCATCGTAGCGGGAGCGCTTGGAGGAGCCACCATAGCGGGGCGCTGTGCGGGGGTTGAGGAGAGCGCCACCAGGAGCTGCAGGTTTCGCCTTGGAAGTGGTGCCAGGACGGGGCCGGGCTGTGCCAGTATAGCCGGTCGTGGCAACAGCGGCCTTCTTGATCTTCTTCTCTTCAACAGGAGGAGCTCGCTTGTCCTTTCCTCGGCCAGAAACGCTGCTATGAGGGTCTTTGGTAGCGATATTCCGCTGGTGTGGTGGGCCTCCTGGTCGTGATGTGCCGTTTGTTGGGCGAGCCAAGCCGTTGGTCGGCCGAGAAGGACCATTGACGGGCCTGGCAGAACTCTTGAACTTGGATGATGTCCTGGGTAGGGGTTGTTTGGTATCCTTAGCCGGCTCTTCCCTTCCTTCCTA